AAAAGTAACTAGTAACTATAACAAATTACTTTTTTAAAGTAACAGCAACTGCCTATGTCGGTGTAGATACCAGATCTGCTCTGGTCCTGCGCATGCCAGTGGCGTTACGCTACATGATTGGCTGAACGTTGCTATTATGGTTGCCCAGACAACGATAATAACATAGCACAGCGTCTATGTGCTGAGTCAGGAGCATCTGTAGCGTTAGCGTGTCTAATGACTGATGAAGTTTTAACAGATCGATAAAAAACAGAAAAAAAAACACCTGTTTACGGTGAACAAAGTAATTTCAAGTGATATAAAGGGGAGAGCTGGGTAGCGCTCTGGCTAGCTGTGCTCAGTAGCTAACAGGTTAGCTGCTTTTAGCTCGGTCAGTTAGCCACATTATGCTACAATACTTTTAACTTTGTATCAACAACCACCGTTTGTTTTCTAAAAGTAAAATAACTGTTTTATTTGTTTATAATCTCTACAAAAGTCATTTTTGAGATGTTCCATTTGTCCTTCCTGTCCTCAGATCTTAATAAAAGAATAAAAATAAGCTGAGACTTTTTCTTGTCATCTTTTTAAATGGCAGAGCTCAGGCTTTGAACGCAGTACTTTCTTTCAAGACTGACAATGATATTTTTCTATTTACGGCTACTTTAGATCGCCAATGAAATGTAAAATAATAGCAAATATAGATAATAATATGTTGAGACTCCAAAAGAGATTTGATTCTTAAGAAACTGTTGCAATACAGTTTGTCCGAGTGGAGTTGCCACATGGTGACGTCATAAGAAGGGGCGGGGCCCCGAGCAGATCTGTTACCTACACCGGTACTCTGGTTACAGTATGTACTAATCGGCTACTTTACTGTAAAAAAGAAAAGTATTTTTCCACCATCACTAAATTATTGATTAATTGGTTTTCAAGAAGATAAAAAAAAACAAACAAAAAAAACCCATTGGATTTAGAGGCGTTACATGATCTATCCAAATGGAAGGGTACATTTATTTTTTTTAATTGTCCAGCTTTAGTTTATATTCCTAGTTCCAGAATTCTTAAGTGGAATACCTTAAGAACTTCCCTTCTTCCGATTACAGAAGCCTTAGATTTATTTTTATCTTGTTTTTAAACACCCCTCTTTGCATTGTTCTTCCCTTTTTTTATGAATTTATTAACAAGTTACAAAAAAAAGCTGAACAAACAAATTTTTAGAAACTGCTTTTTTTTCCTGGCAGACAGTCTTTCTTTTAGAACGAGGGAAAAAAAAACAGTAACAGCATTTTATTTCTCGAGAGGATTGCAGTTAAGAGAACGTCATCCGTAAAACACAGCTTAAAAGGAATGCAATTTGTACACTTATACTGAAAACGAGAGATTTGAAAATAAATGTTAAAAGATTTCACACAAAAAAAAACCCTGAGAAAACGGCAAAGTTACACTTAAAACCTCAAAACTCTAAATTTCAGGATTGCTTCTTCTTTCAAATTTCTACTTATGAAACTTTCTTCAATATTGGAAGAAAATTGACTTGACTCTGGTTTGGCACTGAAGGTATCGCCATTTACAAAAGGAGGAAAAAAAACAATTCTCTGTAGAAAGAAAAGAGCTTCACTAACCAACAATTTAGTCATCACTGAGCTCAATCTGTGACTTCAGCCTGCAGTGTCCAACACATGTGGATAAGGAGCACAGACACCTCGGTTTGGTCTGTGGGACTTATTTAAGGAGCAAAACAGTGGCTAAATACAGTGCAATGAATCAGCCTTTCTTCACTTTAAATAGAAACAGTATCTGTTATGGGATGATAAAGCTGAGGTTGCTCTGGATCAATGTTGGGAAAACTCTCCTTTACCCCTCTTAAAGGTCTCCTGAACTCATCAGCTGTTTGGAAACCCCATGTGAGCTGTGGGAGACTCCAGACTCCTCTCACTGCAAACCAAACATGACAGTGTTGTGTTTTTGTGGCGCCAATGTGTTTATCTCGGGTCACAGATGACTTTCAGTCCAGTGCAAACACTTGTTGTTTATTTATGGCAGAGCTGGAGCTCATCCAGTCGCTCAGAGAAAGCTGAGGTCAGGGAATCTGATTCTGGACACCGAGGGAGGATTTTCCACAATAATCGATTCATGTGAGGAATCTCTTCTCTCCCATACAGACCTATTTGCACTTAAAGTCTGATAGTTTACTGTTTTCTGAGCAGAGGGTCCGTTTATACCTGTACTCTGTGTTTTGCTGCACTCGGCCACCAAACTCTGATTGATGTAAACCTGGCCGTCCCTCAGCAGCCAAATCACTCCGCTGATGAGCTGAACAAAGGGGTTGGTCTGGTTTAAAACATCTTCCTGTGAGAGGTACCTGCATGCCACAAGACAAAAATAAAAGCTTAATCTCCCAGTTTTTACATTTCTATTAACTTCATCAAACATAAAGAAGCAAAAAACAGAACCTGCAAACTTATTCAACACAAGTCAGTGTTGCATCATGTAAAACTTCCCTGGATTGTTGACCCCAGTTATCAAACCAGCAAGTTAAATAAGCCTCTAAATGGTTTACAGATGACCTGCCAGTGCATGACTGTTTGTTATCATCTGTTAAAGTGTTTTTTTGTTTTTGTTTTCTTCCTAAAGAGAATTCGTTTCTCTATCCACCTGCAATAATCAGAAGATTTTATCTTAAAACCTTCAAAAAACGAGGCTGTGTTTTTAGGAAAGTGTGAAGTTGCAAAGTGGAAATTACTAGAATAAACAAATGGAGTCATCCAGACATGAACTCGTCACCTGATGATTGTTTTTGAGCCTTTGCTGAAGTGGACCAGAGGTTAAACTACGGGCTGCGTGAAAACACACCAACAGGAAGCCACTCAGCAAACGCTCTGATGTACTTCACATAAGCAAATGAGCATGCAGCAGAGGCCGACGTAAGGGGGAATAATATTTAATATGTGTAGAGATGAGCAGAGTGGTTAGAAAGCATCTTGTTTGTCAGAAATTTAGTTCTGGGGAAGCTTGAAAACACAGGAAAAAAAAACACAAATAATACATTTGACAGAATTTACAAATACTGCTTTTCAGCTGAATAAATGTGCAACTCTTACAGAGGAAACATGGGAAAGTATTTTAAACCAGTTCCTAAGCACGGTGGAGGAGCTGTGATGGTGCGGTTCTGGGAAACCTGTAGGGTTTTATGGTATATTGGAGCCTTTGAAATAACAGGACATAAAAAAATCAATTTGCTGGTTGTACCAAATCTGGGGAGAAGCTCAGAGGATGCTGGGATATTTTTAAGCTCTTTGGAAAAGTTTCCAATAAACTCCTTTCAGACATAAACGCAGTGCAGGGCTCGATGTTGACCATCGCCCGATTTCCCGGGGCAAGTAGTTTTTATTGTCGGGAGAGTTCAAATTTCATTGCATTTGCCCATTTGATCGCAAAAAAAAGATTATTTATCTCTCAAAATTACTTTAAAATCACCGGCATTCACTGAAAACGACCCACAAGCATTGCCGGCGCCATTTTTGTTGTTTTGTACACATTCTCGCGTGATTGAAAAAAGCCGGGTGATTTTCCACCAGATGGCGCAATACCAGAGGTGGGGACTCCAGTTTGTGACTCGTACTCGATTCGCACTTAAGTCGAATATTTAATGACTTCAGACTCGACCGAGACTCGCGATTTCCGACTTGTGAATAGGGTTGTCAAAAGTATCGATACTAAAACGTTGTATCCGGATACAATACTCATTTTCAGAAGTATCGATACAGTGCTACCACCAGTGGCACCTAAAATCATTCATCTAAAGTGTAGAATAGAGGAAAATGCACTTTCTGAACACTGTGATTGAATAATTCTGTGCACTTTTCAGTTTTACACTTTTTTTTTTTTTTTTTTGTAACAAGTGCAGCTGCTGAGAGTTATTTTTGTTTCTTAACTGGTTTGGCTAGTGTCATTATGTGTGCAAAGCATAGCCAAGTAAGGAAAACTTTATTTTAATTTTGTAAGTTTTTTTTATCAAGCTTGCTTAATATTGTGCACAGCAAACAACCTCAAAAAATATTGTTCTTGTTGTTTATTGTATTTATTTATTGTATTTTAATTATTAATCAAAATATTTCTATTGAAATTTGGAGTTTTTATCCTTGTGGTATCGAAAATGGCATCGAGTATCGAATATTTTCTTTAGTATCGGTATCGAGTTGAAAAGTTTAGTATCGTGACAACCCTACTTGTGAACAATATTTTATTTTTTAAGTGTTTTTTGTTTTACTAACTTGACCGATCGCCGCTCGCCTTACCCGTACAGCAGAGGTTAAAAAAAAAAAAAAAAAACGGCAAAGGGGCTGTCAAACTGTCACGTAGCACTGACGTCACTGACGCAACGCTACGTGACATGTAAGCATGTATTTTTCACTTACCAGTTCAAGATAATGATAATTCCATAGATATGATGGCGGCCTTTAAGATATACCGTCTCAGTGAAGGAGATAAAAACACAAGGAGAAACAAGCAAGCACGCAAATTATTGAACTTATTTTTTATAAATCATGTGATTAGAATTTATTGTGCGATTAATTTAATATTGCAACAGGCCTACTCTAGACTTGACTTGGACTTGCAAAAAATGACTTGTGAACACGTCTGCGTGATACCAAAACGACAAACAAGCTAGAAAGCGCTATCATATGGCAGTCTTCTGTACAGTGGTCATACATTAAAAAATGTTCATTACATTTTTTTCTCTGAGACATTGCAGAGGTGCATTTAAATTTTATAAAGCTTAACATGTTAAATTGGTGACCTGTTATGTTATTATTATTGTCTTGTTGCTGCATTTATTTTGTCAGGGAAAACTAATCCTGAGTCAGTTAAAAGTCAGGGAATTCTGAAATGATGCAA